AGCCATATTATAGCTACTGATTTCGTTATGATTAATGATTCCAATAATTGTTTTTTTATATTTTCGGATAGAGATTGATTGATTTTATTTGAAATATAATTATTTGATTTTATTTATGCTTTATATAATGACTAAAAACCGTATGATTAATCGATTAACGTAAATATTCACACTTTTTACTCTATAGGAATCCAAAAGACTATCCCTCTTACTTGCCAAATGAGATAGATAGAGACAGGATGCTAGTGATTTTGGTTGTACTCGTCCACAATTTTTTATGAGGTACTTCTTTTCACTGTTGAATAAGAATCTTGAAGTTTATCAGTTAATGTAATATTTTTTTTATGAAACATTTTTCTTATTGAAGGGTAAGATTATAAAACATACCTAATCAAAGTGTGTGCAGAGGGTTAGTGGTAGAATATATAGGCAGAATATATTTTCTTAAAATAAACAAAAATTAAGCGCCATTTCCATCCCTCAGTATCTCTTTATAAATATGATGTGACGATCTAATGTCCTTATCATTTCTTTTTCACACTTTTAGTTTTCTTAAATTTTGCAGGCTATTTAACATAAAAGAATAAGCATGTTCAAAAAATACCATGCTAATTTCTTAAATATTTACACAAATAAAAAAGTTATTGGACTTTTAAGTTGCGTTCATAAGATCAAATTCTCTTCACGGTACTTCAGAATGTGACATAACGCTACCGAACATGACCGTGAGGATGGTTTTCGAGCATCGCCTGCATCTTGCAGTCGCGTTTTGTTTATTACTCGATAGAGGGCACTAAAAATCTTCTATTATCATTGTAATGTTCCTAATAAAATACCCTTATAAAATAGTTTTAAATAAGGAAACGAAAAGGCGTTTAGGGTGATCTTCTTATAAAGTCTTTATATTAAGGTCCTAAGGATAATCACAAAACAGACCAAAAGAGGTACCTACTAACTATTATCTATGCTAATAGTTTCAGAATAAAGTAGACAGACAGAGATGACGTTAACGAATCTTTAAGAGATCAAAGGTTTGTCGACTAATGCATTTTTATTGGTCGATAGGAAACGCATTCTGTACTTATTTTCATTAGACGGTCATTGACTCTCTTCGTTTTATAGACTAGTACACTCACAAGCTCATTTACATTGGTCGATAGTGCCCGCATGCGGAGTGCGGACGATTTTTGTGCTTATTTTGAGTAGGCGATCATTGCCTGCCATTGGTTTATCCACTACTACAGGCTCATTTATATTGGTCGATAGGAACCGCATGAGATGTGCAGCGATTTCTGTGCTTATTTGCATTATTGTTTGACTGAAACTGAAAGAGTTTATCGGCCAGTGACATGAGCCCGTACGAATTAGTCGCAATATATATGCCGGCCCTATCGATCAATGTAAATATGCTACTGTAAAAGTCAACCTTTTATACGAAAATCGCTAATGAGCGAACCCTTTACCTATTGCATCATCACTTGCATATAGGTAAAATGAGAGAAAAGCTCTCTTCCCCTTTTTAAAATTAAAGATTGGAATACCTCCGTAAAAATATGCTGTAGACCCCAATGAACATTTTCATCATCATCATCATCACCAGCCCTTTTACGTCCCCACTGCAGGCGCTCACGCCTTCCTTATGGATGGTTAAGGAGGCCATGACCCTCCACGCTGGCCTAATGCGGATTAGAGGATATTAACAACTGCAAATGCAGCCGGGACCAACGGCTTAACGTGCCTTCCGAAGCACGGAGTAGCTCGAGGTAATAATTTTTGGTCACTCATCCTGTGACCGACCCTTGCGAAAGTTGCTTAACGACTACGATCGCGGGCCGCGGCACTTATCCACTACGCCACCGAGCTACTCATGAACATTTTATCGAACACTTATTTGAACGGAGTTCAGCCGCATTCTGAGATATAGCACATTTACAAAAACCGCAAATATAACTTTATCAATTGACCTATATTTTTATATTATATTGTGTTAAATATAATAATATCAACATCATGAATTATGTTTATGTATAACTCTTATATATCTTTATAACTCTTTTGGTTTCAAATAAATAAATCATGAAACTTCGTCATTACGCTCTGTCGTCCCAAATGACTTTATTGATGTTTTACAAACGCAATATAAAAATTATTAAAACAATGATTAAAAAAAAAATGTTTCTCAGTGTTTTTACTGTAGAACACACAATGTAGAAGCAATAATTAAAGTAAATCTATAGGAGCAATGAAAATATGAAATAAGCTTCATTCGGCTATATACATATACTATAGAAATATATGGTCTTATTAAAACATCTACTTGAAGAAATAATGCGCGCTCCTTCATTAATGTTTTAAAAATATGTTAAAAGAATTATTATCTATCAATTTTGGAACAAATGCTAACATATCTTCCTGTTATATTTGTTTTGGTAATGTTTTAAATATATGTATGTAGAGGTATGTATATATTATGTGTATGTTTTTCTCTCGCCATGTAAGACACCACCACTACTCATCTATTTATGTAACAGTCCAGTCTAATCTGTGGTTGCCTGGAACAAATTGCTCTATAGCGATAGGGCCGCTGATTGTATAACTAAAGTGTAATAATTCCCATATTCTATAAGTATGGTGTACAATAAAGAATTCATTCATTCATTCTTTCACTCTTTATTTTTAGTTAACGACCTTTGTAGCCGAATGACTTGCATGCTATAAGGTGTCGCCGTCTCTGAGGTCCTATTCTATTATACTTTCGTTGCTTCACATAATACGAATGCTTTAGCTACTCATATTATACATCTCAGCAATGTTTGTGATCATCCAATTTTCGAGTTAATACAATATAAAATTAAGATTAGTAATTACGTTGATTATTTTGATTAAATTCTAGATTTTAATTGAGATATGTGCAAGTACTTAGTTTTCGCGATAACATTGTATATTTTGCCGATAAGAGATAAACTCGAGAGCTCTACAAAAGATTAAAATGCTATGCACTATGCAAATGAGTTCAGTACTGACGTTGTCATCTGCTTAAAACAACATTTAATAATAAAAATTTACTGAAGAAAAGTTTGTTATTAATTATTATTTATTAATACGTATATACCAATATATTCGTTATAACTTGTGAAAGTGTTTTAATTAAAGTGTATTTTATACATCATATAAAATAATTATAGGTATGTACATATAAGTTCGGACACCGGTCTTTTCAAATCAGTTTTCGACATATGTTTGTTTCTATCGTAATGTAACTTTTGTTTTATTAATGCAATAGTGTAGGACAGAGCACGATTAATAATGAAATATATCAAACGTTAATTATAGAAAAAGTGGTGGACTATAGCAATAGTAAAAATAAATGGAAACCTGCATTTTAAATGCAGTAAATTAATGTGATTCGATATCTTTTTTCATATTCAAAATGAAATGAGAAAATTATATCATAGTTTTGATTAAGCTATCCAAACTTGATGAATCAGTTTCTCAAATCAAAATCGCGCGTATCGCTACGTAATTGTCAATCCTACTCCGTATTTATGTTTACATAGGATGTTGATTTAAACAATAGTGTTTTCTTTGCATAATATGTTGTGAGTTTATAATACAAAAGCATAATTATAAATGTCAAAACAAAAGTGGATGTTACTCTTCACCTAGATGCTCACAAGCTGAATAATTGGTTATTCTTCAAGTGTTAGTCTTGTGTGTAACACTACGCCAAATAACTGGAGTGTTGCATATTCATGTACCGTTAATTTGATCTCATGAATGGTTCTAATTTGTTATTTATCCAATGTTCATGAGTAACGGGCTTGGATAATTCGTGGATGCGTTAATTCTTCACTATTAAATTAATTCTGTTCTCTTGAAATGAATTCTTTTATTTATCTGTACTACGTATTATTCAAACTTTAATAAATCAGAAACTATGATTTTTGTTCAAATATATGCAATTATATATTTAGGTGATTAACTAGTTATTTTGTTTTAGTAATATAACTTCCGATATGGTTTATATCGGCACTTAATTCCTAAAACAGTACAAACCACATTTAATGTATCAGATATTGCCAAACAATACTGACAATGCTTTAGCTGAAGCAGTAACGTTCCTTTGTTATCATATTTCTTAATGAATGGGCCAAATATGCAAAAATAGAGGTTAAGGTCCTTTTCGTCTTTAATCAATTCGGTGATAGGATTTAAAAACTTGCGTGCGTGAATTTGCATCAAGTACAGTTACCATCTATGATGCAGTATCTTATACAGTTCTGCGAATCCATCGGAGAGAGGCACTTAATACGAAAATTGTTGAGCGTCGTGAGAAAGAGTGGCCCTTTGAAACGGGACCCGGGAATAACGGGCCGCAGCCCCGGGCGATATGCTAATGCATCGGTCTCTGCGAACGCCTGCGCCCGCGTTGCCGCGTCGGCGAGACGCCTCTGGTTCCACTAACCTACATCTCGCATATGCCATGATGAGACTGTTTGTGGTCAACGCGTACCCAAACACGCTTGTTATACTTTCATATCGATCGACGAAAGTTCTCAATGACCGTAAGTAGGATGTAGGCGTTCGATTTCAACTTTAAAAAAACTATAGACATGACTCTTCAATGTCTTTTGCTATTAGTGTAATAACAGTGTTTATAAAACACACGAGACTTTTAAACAATTGTTTTCGTCTGAACAAATATAATTAATTAATCTTTTCTCAACGATGCATTTCATATTTCTATGAATAATTTTGAGATAAATTAGCGCTATGACTGTCATTGTACTATAACGGAGAACGCCAATTCTTGTATTTTGTTCATCTTGAAATGTTTAAGTGCACTACGACAGTGAAAGAGAGTGGCCGCGTGCAGTCTTGGCGTGCCATCCGTCTCGCGCGCAACCTTAAGCGTTATATTACGCAATTTTAAAAATATATTTTTTGTATACAGATACGAGCCAACTACTGAAAGTGCGCGGGCGCGCGTTGTACGCGGAATGGCGTCAGACGTGGCCGCGGAGGACTTTGTCACCATTGTCCCAGTTGGTGAGGGCCGGCCTGTGGTACGAGAAAACAATTTTGTGACGGTGCTTACGGTTGGTGCAGCAGCCGGTGCCGCAGAAGTTAAAGTACAAAGGTCGAGAGGTGAGAGACTCGGTCTCGGTTTGAAGTTTGAAGGTGGTTCTGCTGCTGCTGAAAAAGTAAGAAGACTTCTTGTGCAATCATGTGCTGAAAATAGTCCTGCTGCAAATGCTACTACGCCCTGGGGAAAATTAATACCAGGGGATGAGATTTTAGCTATAGATGGAGTGTCGGTTTCGGAATTGACCAGAATAGATTGTGTACGTCGATTGAAGGATTCAGATGAATCTCTCACGCTATTAGTGCGCCATTTTGAATCTGACTCACAGAAAGATATAAGCAATAATGACGTCACAGATTCTTCTCCTAATGTTAAATCTGCAACGGATATTGTACGACCAACAACCCTACCACCACCAGTACCACCAAGAAAACTGGGTAAAAAGAATTCATTTAAAGAAAAGTCAACTCTTCAAACAGTTGGAGGGCAAAACACAATACTTAACGAAGAAAAGGAAACTCTAAATGGTCAACATAACGGGTTAGCCACAATTACAAAGTTATCGAGAAAATCATCGTTTGACAGTCATTTACATAGACAGACAAAAGAAGGTATAGCATACTTAAAGAAGGGTTCTCCTGAAGAAGTGAGGCGATTAGTGCGTCGATTATCTGACGGGAAAGCAATGCCTCCTGAAGCAGAAGTATATATTGATTTGCTGTCTTCAGAATGGGAACGGTGCCTATTGCTGGCAGATGCCGAGTCTGATGATACTGGGAGTTCTATATCAACCGTAGTAGATCGTTTAGGATCTATGACTAGTTCTGTAGAAAACAGTATACCATCCACACCCATAATGCAACCGAAAACAATAGATATACAAAAAGTGTTAAACTGTATTGAAAATATTGATTCAAATATATTAAAGGATATAACTGGTAGCAAATATTTAGACAGGCAAATAGAAATAAATAAAGAAATATTAAAGACAGAGAAAAATATGACCTCTAACGGATTTGATATCCATGAAGCACCCATGTCTATAATGCACGATGAAGTCAATCAGCCATCAAAAAAACTACAACATAACGATAAAAACAATAATAATACTTTTGTTCAAAATGGCAGCACATTACAAGTAACAAACAAATCAGCTCAAGTGTTAAAGTCAGCCGAAAACAAAGTTGAGTCGGTAGCTGAAAAACCTAAGCCTATGCCCAGAACGGCTAAAACAGAAAGAACAGTAAGCGAGAAGAAGTTGAAACCCATTTCTGTACCAGAAATACCACCACCGCCTATTCCGGAACCGTTGCTAACTCCAACAAAGAAAACATGTATAGAGACGTGGTTACAACGTTCCGAAGCTGAAATGAATAATAAAAAAATCGAAGAAAGTTTACCAGAAATTTTGCCTCGTTTGATAGACTTCGTACCGAAACCTCAGTTTAAAGAAACTAGTGATACTCCTTTGCCCCGACCTACGACGGCACCGCCTCCACCTCCACCGACACCTTCGACACCTCCAGTTGAAACACGAGAAGATGGTTCTGGGGCATCTCTCGACACCATTGGTGAATTGGATGAATCAGTTGATGTTCCTGATAATCTGTAAGTACATTTACTTAAATAAAACATAAGTATAGTTTATCACTGTTTCCAAATTCACCTAAAATATTATTAATGACACTTTCGCAATCCGGGCGACTACTTTAACCACTGAGCTTAAATTTGAAATATAATTTCTTACGTACGTTATGGGACTGTTAGTATTGTTACATGATTCATAAATCTTCGCTCGTGTGGTTCATTCGAATAAAATATCGATAAAAATTACAATAGCTTAAAATTAATATTTGGATTAATGTTACCGAGATTCTATAGATATATATTAATATTTTTCTAGAAATTAAGTATTGTTGTAGGCATCAGAATTGAAATGAACTCCTCATTATCACTTAAAGCTCTATTGTAGGCATGTGATGAGTTCATACTTAACTGGTAGCTTTTATATACTTCTGTAACTACTATACATTTTTTAAATTACTTATTGCCTCGTGAACTTATTTGACCGTTAAAGAAAATTTCAATTACAGGAGAAAAGTTATACAGACTTATAGGCGTAAGCCAACCATCAATGAATGAAAGTAGATTTTCACCTAAGAAACGTAATTGCTGGTTGCAATTGCAAACATCAATTTACGCTGCAAGCCAATGGCTAGAAATTAACCTTTCATTTCTAAAGAAAATGTATTTTAATATTTTCCTGCAGCTCGTGAAGTGGATTGTTTGAAGTATGATTCGCTTTACGGGCAATGAACTAAAACATTCCATTAACACAGAAAATGTAGGTATGTTTCAGATGTACAATTTAATAATAGTTCCCCAAACGAACAGATAACAAATAATATTCATTTTCTGTATTATCAAAACTGGGACCTAGAAGGCGTTAATATTAATTAGCATTTTCCCCTCTCACATGCTGAAAACGTAAAATATTGAAAAAAAAATTACTTAAAGTTTCATTCAACAATAAAAATCGTGTGTTCAGTGTATTTTATATTTTTTATGTGAAATATCTTAAATTTATGTTAAATGAGAATGTCACTAAATGAAATCGCAAAATCGTTATAATTACATAAAAAAATGAGAACGTTAAAAATAGTTTACATTGAACTTTGACAAACAGGTTTTCGTATTTGAAGTCTTTGTAAAATAGCTTATGATAAAAACATCTTCATTGTTGTCTACGCAAACAATACTCTTACCAGTAGCATAGGAACAAGTACTGTAAACAAAGAAAAGAATATTTTATTTGGAACGATGACACACATGGAGAGTTTTCTCTATTTTCATACAAACCGGCGGCACCTAGTTGTTAACAATAGCGCGATAGCAAAGGGTGACTGTACACTCTACAAAGTGAAGTGGGAATGTCATATATATCTGCATTTTAGTTCGTAAAGTGATGAGAAATATTCATTCACATTGAATTTATCCACAGCATAAATTGATATTATAATGACTCCTTTGAACTCGTATAAAATAGATATAAGTATACTATGATATATGTTAGCTTTCTAGTCCTATGTCCATCTTGTGTTTAACATGTAATTATATATATTTAATATTATACTGAATGAACGTGGTTAGCGTGTTTGGTCTGCGATACGGTTGTTAAGCAACTTTCGTAAGGGCCAATCAAAGGATGGGTGCACATAAAATAATTATATCCTTATAGCTTAAAAATTATAGCCCCTTCCTGCTTCGGAACGCATTTTAAGCCTTTGATTTCAGCAGCATTTGCTGTTATTAACACCCACCAATCCACGCAGGGTCCGTATAGTGGGTTATGGGCCATAATCCCTTTTCGATTCGATTCCATCCATAGGGAAAGTCTGTGCCCCAGCAGTGGCGACAATAATAAGCTGGTGATAATGATGATGATGGTGAACTTATTCGGGAGGAAAATTACCTAATTGTAAAGTTTAAAAAATAACCTTGATTTTATTTTTTTTAACAAAAAGGACAAATGTATTAACCAATTATTATTATTGAATAACAAATAGTTCAGTGAATAATAATTATAAATAGTCTTCGACAAATAGCACAAAACTATCGATAAACTGTAACCCGCTGCTTCGACCACGTGGTCTATTGACTACTAGAGTACCGTGTGCACACTGGCCTGCTATACTGGAGTCTTAAGCTAATCTTAATTAAAAATCTGTCAGTAAGCATCCACCTTTATATTATCATCATTAGTTTATCAACGTTTCCACTGTTAGGGCATAGGTCTGCCTAATAGATGGAACCAATCATGGAAAATCTACCGGTGTTTCTGTGGATAGCGCTCTTCTTTCCATTTTAGTGCGCAGTAGAATCGACATGTCTTGCAAAAATAGAAACAAATGTTTTCCTTGAAATAATAGTCCTTTTATGCAGTCTTATTTTACGGCCGATCCTCTTAGCAACTTGATGGTCAGCTCTAATACTTTGATATTTAGTTGCTATTTTAGATAAAACTGTTTCCTATCATTAGTGGCTCATTTTAAGTATTTCTTTATTTTTAGTCATTCATAATTCATTATTATCGACAGTACATTTTTCGCAAACATAATTAACGCCCTCAATTAAGTATTAAAGTATCTCGTTAATAGTCAGCCATATACTATTTTGTCATTCGATGAATAATTCTCCACTTAAATAAAAAAAGTCAAAATCCCGTTTAAAAGTACAGTAGTATTATCTAGTGTTAGATTGGAAGTACACGAAAATGTAAAGACGTCCTGAACAAGTGGTAGGGGAAAAAAAATTTTTTTGGACGATTCAAAAGTGCTTGTAATAGCCTACTTGAATAAAGATATTTTCATTTCATTTCAACATTTAGCTCCGCTACTGGAGCTAAATGTAACATTTTTGTGTTCTTAACAAACATTTTATGCTAGCGATAACGATTGTACCGATTTAAATTAGTTAAAAAATTATTTAATGCTGCGTAAAGAGCTTAAATCATTTAATAATGGATTTGGAAAAGGATGACATGGAATATAATTACAATGACAAATTGAATTATAAATAATGGTTTCTATGGTAACGATTTAATGCACTATACGAAATTGCACTCCCATTTTCATCCCTTTAAGTGCTTTTTTCGAGATACGATATTAGATAGACATAATGAAGCCGACTTTTTTAGAACATTTTAAGGGGATCAATTTCGTAATACACGATTTTTGCGTAACTTTCACCGATTACGTAGCCCACGTAAGGAAAGCTTTGCAAAAGTAAAATATTCTCCCGTTTTTGCAACATTTTTCGTTGCTGATCCACTGCTACAAGCCATAGCCATAATGTTATATAGCGATAAATGAACTATTCAACACAAAAAAATAATTCAATGCGTTCCAGTAGTTCTTGAGATTATAAAGTTCAATCGATGAAACAAACAAACTCTACAGCTTTATTATTAGTATAGATTACTTTCAGTCTTTCTATATACATGTTACAACATATAAACAATCTCTTTAGGTACCTACTGAACAAACTTATGCAAAAAATATTTTTATGCTTGTAATTGTTTTATTGTATATTATGCGATATGTATCTCTGTTTTGCGATGTAACGTAACGTATCTAAGCGTTCTATATAAACCTTGTATACGAATGAATATATTTAGGAAAGGTATATTGGGTAAAAATTAAAAACAATAATACGAGTAGTGCGCTCAAAGATGAACAAGTTTATATATGCCTAGTACAATTGCTAAGTTTCACAAATGCAAACATATCAATTATCATACATGGTGTTATTGAACTCTTAACGTAATAAGTGCTCGCGCGATCAGAAACAATTACGACATTACAAAAGAATATTCATCGATACAGAAAAATCGTCACGGATTCAGAACATGAAATAGAAAGTCAGCATTATTCGATCTCGATCATGCCGGTTCTGTCTATCTACTAATATCCATTTCTCATCAAGCATTGTTGACTGTAACCTATGCTCCTTGCACACATTACACATTATAATGACCTGTTACGAAGAGTCATGACTGGAAAATATTCTATAGTGTAACGCCTCACAGATGTGCGTCATGTCATTATTGATTGATGCGTATATATCCACCTCAGCAATGGCCACATGAACTTTTTTTAAAACATCTTTCTCATAGTCAATAAAAGTTAGATAATAAAACTCTTTAATCAAAGTTTTAATTACCTTTTATTAAATTAAAGATTGTGTTTGAATATTGAAGTGATGTCACACGTGAAACTGACGGTGGAAAGATTTTGTTGTCAAAAGTTATTATATTACATTCGTGAAAAGTCTTGACATCCTTTCGATTGAAAACAAATGTAATACACGTCACACGCTAGGTATGTCGCTTATGAAAATGAAGGTATTGTTAAAAGTTTTAACATAATGCAAATTAAATGATGTTACATTTGAAAAACGTTTCTTTCGTTCGAAAAATACTCAGTGGACAAAGTGGATTTTTTAAGCATATTTAGTTATGAATATTTTTCATTATTTGTGTATGCAAATTTGATCAAATAGTTTAGTTTAGAGACTGGTACAACAAAATCAGCGCCATTGCCACATAATTATACTTGTATTATGAAAATATTGTACCACTGCCTTTTTTATTAATTGAACAATGTTAAAAGTTAATAAAATTAGTAAATTTTGCTTACTGTGCTTAGAACTATCTGAATAAAAAATTCAAATAGTTATACTAGAGTTCTTTTCGTAAATATGAAGTGAAGAAGATAATGATTTTAGGTACTTTAGGCAGTTTCATCTTTCTAGGTCAGGCAAGCCATATTTGCTAAGGCAAATAGAAACTATGCTTGCAGATGAAAATACATACATATTATGTTGTTTGATTAATTGCGATGAGAATTAGTAGTTGACTTTAATAACGGTATTTATAAGAACTACTTTCATTTCTTTACAAAACTAACTATTACGTTGTGTCATTAACTGTGTACAAATTTTGTTGTCTCATTGAATGATTAACTAAGAGGTTTCTTTTTTTATCTATTATGCGATATTTAATTGTCAATACTGCTTTGAAATTATGAAAAATCAATTTATTTTTCGAT